TCTTTTGTTAATTGCTTTTAAAAAATCACTTGGTAGTGAATACATTCACGACAATCCATTTACGGATTAGTAATTAAAACTTCTTAAAAGTCACTGATATCTATATTTTGAAGGAAAAGAATACAGCTAGTTAAACTCTGACCACTGATTATAAGTATAATTGAGAATCCTTTTTTAACATCGTCACTATTTATCAGAGCAGATTATCTTCCATTGTGATAAAATATTTTCCACATACTTGCCCTATTGAAGGAGGAGTCTAGGTATGTAAAAAAGTATCTGTTGAACTTGATATGCATGCTGATATTTACTGACATCTGCAGCTTACTTTGAAATGTATCAAAAAATAAGGTGAATTGATGTGTGGATAGAGAGTTGGATATATGATGAACCCAATATAGTAAAATGTTAATTGGGCAATTTGGGTGGTGGGTATGGAGCGGGATTCACTGTAAAATTTTTGCAACTTTTCTGGTGGAAATCTTCCATAATATAGGTAAAATATATAGGTAAAGTGTTTAGATTTAAGTGGATGTGGGCAGTGAATTTAGAGAGAAGGGCGTGCAAGTGAATACACACATAAATTATTAAATGTTTATACCTTAAGCAAACCTTGTATATAAAAGCACATGTTTCTCAACTGTTTTATTGTGTATTTCACAGATTTACTTCCATTAGGAATATTCTTAGGTCATAAGTAAAAAAACATAAGAATTATAACTTTGACTTCAAGAAATATCCTGACTTCGTCATTATACAAAGTAACTCTTGGTTCTCTCAGCACATCCTCATAGAAAAGTGAGATAAATGACTGAGAAGTCATGTGATCACAGTAAAAGAATGCATTTACTAATGAACATCATATAACTTTTATTCCTCTTTTGGTATTTGGTATCCCTACCAACTCAGAAAAGTTAGTACTGTCTTGTGTTAGCAAAGTCTTGAATACATAGAGGAGGACTGCACAACAAATACTGATTCAAGAAATGAAATGTTTATTTCTTTCATATTGTTTTGTTTATTGTGAAATAGAATACAAAAGTAGTACAAATATATTTAAAGTACAGTAATAAAATGAATATCCATGTAATAACTACCACTCATAATAAAAATTAGAATTAGAAGAATTACTTTTGCCCATCCCAGTCACAACCCCCTCTCCCACATCCTCTCTGTTAAACTAGATAATCTATACTTGGTTTCTTTTTTGAATATTTTCATTTTTTTTAGTTTAGTTGTGCTATATAAACTAAAATATGGTTTAATATTGCCTGTTTTTGCATTTTATATATATAAGACAGTCATGTTGTGTGTATTCATCATTAAGTAAAAAACTCACTACCATGTTTGTGATATTTATCCATAAGGTGTGTGTAGCTCTGGTTTATTCATCTTCATTGCTAGTTAGTATACCATTGTATGACTATATCACTTTTATTTTTTTATTTTTTGACTTGGAGTCTCATTTTGTCACCCAGGCTATTGCACTCTCACGGCCACCCCGGCATCTACCTGCTGGTCTCCAGCGATCCTTCCTCCTCAGCCTTGTAGCCGGAACTACAAGCACGTGCTACCACACCCAACTGATTTATATATATATATATATATATTTATTGTTGAAACGAGGTCTCACCAAGTTGCCTGGACTGGTCTCGAACCCAGGAACTCAGGCAATCCACTCACCTTGGCCTCTCAAAGTGCTGGGCCAAGTGCGGCCTGTATCACAATTAATTTGTTAATTCTGCTATTGGATTTTTGCTTTTGTCTGCAATATTTTGTTATGAGCAATGTTACTTTGGAAGTATAAGAATATCTCTCTGTTAAGGTATTACTTGAAATGGTGTCAGTAGGTTGTAGGTCATTAGAGGTAAGCATTTATAAATATTTATGTCATTGCTGTAGGCTTTTTTGTTTGTTTTGTTTCCAGTACTCAAAAGAATGCAATAGATCTGCATATGGGGTAGGGACAGAATTATTGATAAGTTCACTAGTACTCCCTCATTCTTCTTCACTCTTCCCCCTCTTTCCAGGTACATGTACACATATACAGACACACATCATATGATAGATATCCCCAGAACAGTGTTAGAATAAGTGTTGTAATTTAGAATATTTTTGCACTCTTCTTTTCATTCCAAGAACATTAGCAGTTTGCCCAGCAGGTATCTTAAAGACAGTAGGGTCAGTTTATCATTAACTAGATTCCTTTTTTTAATATATATATCAATGAGTAATACTATAGCTCTGTAGCTCAGAATATCTTTCCATCTATCTTACCCAAACTTCGTGTATTCAACTAGTTCGATAATTTCTGAACGTTTGTATTACAGGTATAATCGGCACACAATAAACTGCACATATTTAAAGTATTGAGTTTGATAAATTTTGACATATGTTTACAACCATGAAATCAAAATAATGAACATTCATAATCCAAGTAGTTTCTTTTACCTCTTTGTAATTTTGTGTCTCAAAGCCATAGATCTTCTTTCTGTCACTATAGACAGAAAATGTTCTAGAATTCCATGTAAATGTGATTATACTTTCGGTATTCTTTTTGGTGTGGTTTCTTTCACTCAGCATAATTATTTTTTTTATTTCCCCTATGATATTCTTTTTTTTTTTTTTTTAACTATTACTGAGTAGCATCTTATTGTGTAGCGATGCACTATTTATTTATTCACCTGTTGTTGGTTTGTTTCTTTTCAGCAGTTACAAAAAAGATGCTATGCACATTTGTATAAGTCTTTGTGTGAACATATACTTTCATTTCTCTATGGTAAATACCTAGGAGTGAGAATGATGGACCATATTAGATGTATATATTTAACTTTTTAAAAATATATATATTTAACTTTTTAAGAAACTTCCAAACTGTTTTCCAGGGTACTGCTATACCATTTTACATTTCCCCCAGTAGTGGCAAGAGCTTCAGCTGTTCTACACCCTTGCCAGTTTTGATATACATAGTCAGTCTTTTTAATTTTAGGTTTCGTATTGGGTGTATGGTGGTGGTGTCTTGTGATTTTGATGCACATTTCCCTAATAATGATGTTGAACATCTTTTCATATGTTTATTTGCTATCTCTATATGCATCGTAATTACAAATCCTTTGTAGAATATGTTTTGCAAATGTTTTTTTTCAGTTTGCAATTTACTTTACATTTTCTTAAGTGTCTTTTAAAGAAACTATTTAAAATTTTGATGAAGTTCTAAAAGTTTCATCAGAGTCTAAAGAATTAAAACCAACAAACAATCCTGAAGTGCTCACTTTGCCCTGAATGGCTATAGAATCATGCTTGATTATTCACTGATTGCCATCATAAATCATTCCTTTCCTTCTGTGCAATTATCCTTGAATTGTAAATGATTTAGTATTTTATTTCAACAAACTTTTTTTATAACAGGCCCAGGTTTATAAGATGAGTAGTAGTATGTGTCATCTCACTTCAGAACCCTCATTTTTAATATTTAATGTTTCTTCCTGTCATCTGTCTGTCTTATGCAGCCAGGCCTATATACTTTCCTTTGTCCAGTAGCTGGTACAGCTTTAGAGACAATGAAGTGCTCAGTATATTTTTGTTGTGTATTGTAGTTATACTTTTTCAATATTTTACAAGTATGTTCATTTTAGCAGGAAATCTCTTATTCTTTGTATCCTCCAAAGATCATAACATAGTTCCTTGTACACAAGGGACACTCACTAAATATTTAGTGACTGAATGAACTGTTGGTGATGGTCTTTGAGTAAGATTTGCCTAGTGATACAGTTGCCCCTCCATATCCACAGGTGACACATCCATAGAATCAACCAACTGCACATAAAAACTATTCAGAAAAAAATAAAAAGTAACAGTACAACCATAAAGAATGATGTAAATTTAAAAAACAATACAGTATAACAACTGTTTACATAGCCTGGGTATTTCAAGTAATCTAGAGGTGATTTTATAGTACACAGGAGGATTTAGGTAGATTATATGCAAATGCGATGCCATTTTATATAAGGAATTTGAGCATTCGTGGAGTTTGGTATCCTTGAGGGGGAGGGTCCTGGAACCAATCCCTTACAGATACCTAGTAGCAACTGTGTAACCTTAGGCTTTGTTAAGTGAATAAAATATACTCTCATTTCAGATGTGATTATTGCAATAGATTATGTTTTTCTAGGTAGAACAAAGGTGCCTGATTTTTACTTGACTATTTTTAGTACAGTAATCTTTTTATGACTCAGATTTAAAATTATTGTCATAGAAGTCAGTCTTTTGTAGTATAAAATAAAATCTGTAGTAATTTACAGTTAAAAGGCTTTCACAAAATTTGCCTGTCTTAGTTCATTTTGAGCTGCTGTAGCAGAATAACACAGACTGGGTAATTTATAAACAATAGTTCTGCAGGCTGGTAAGTCCAATGTCAAGGGACCCACATCTGGTCAGGGCCTTAATTCTTTTTTTTTTTTTTTTAAACATATGTTATCTTAAAGATGTGGAGTACAATTCAGGGTTAGGTAAACAAGTGGACATCGTTCAAGTAAAATTTGGGCCTCCCTTTGATCACCACTTTGCCTTGTTTGAGATCAGTTACCTTTACTGATTCTCCCCCACCCCGCAACATCCCACTACTGCCAATCCTTTTCTTATAGTATTATAGGGCCTTTATTCCATGTTGGAAGGTGGAAGGACAAGAGGAGATTGAACTCACTTTTATTACCCAACACACTCTTGAAATAACAAGTCCACTTCTGTGATAGCAACATTAACCCTTTTATTGCCATTTAAGGGTCCCACCTTTCAATGCTTTTGCATTAAGTTTCCAACACATGAACTTTAGGGGAACATTGTCAAACCATAGCACTGCTCTGTTAAATTAGTTCTTAGGAATTCCTTTTGTATTTACGTAATTTAGGAATTCCTTTTTTCAGTGAAACTGATGCATTAAAACATAAAGACTATTTGTAAGTGCATGGAAAAGATGGCAGTAACTTTCTTTCTTTATCTAGGTCCTGGGAACACCAACAAGGGAGCAAATTAGAGAAATGAACCCAAACTACACAGAATTTAAATTCCCTCAAATTAAGGCACATCCTTGGACTAAGGTGAGTCAAAATGAGTTTTTTTAAAAATCATGTTAACTAAAACTTGGATTTCTTGTTGTTCTTAAACTAAACTATTTTTAGACCAGATAGCTACCTGAATACAAGTACACAGCACTTCTGCATATAAGGATAGTTGAGTAGTTGTACTTGAGGGTTTCATTGACTGTGCATAATTTCATTCTCATTGATTTTTCTATAGATAGTACCCATCCTGGGTTTTTATTTGCAAGGTAAGGACAATGTACTTAAATCACTACAGTATAGAATTTGATTAGAAGCAGAGTCTTCTATGTAAATATTGACAACCTAAAATTCAGAACTTAATTTCTTTATGTACATAGAGGTACATAGTCCTGAATCATATAACATATGATAACATACATTTCTTATACATTCTTTATGCTTTTAAACTATTAAAACATAGATCTCATTATAGATGGTACTGTGTGTTTTTCTTCTTTTATTTACTTTCTTATTGATGTTTTGGGAGCAGGGTTAAAAATACAGATGTAATCTTGCTGGGGGTTTACATTGAAAACAATTGATGTGTTAGCTGAATGTCACTAGCCATTGGAAAAACCTAACCTTAACATTAGATAGAAATAATTCTAAAGAGCACAATTACTAATTTGCCAAAAGCCTGTTTTTTTGTTTGTTTGTTTGTTTTTGCTTTGGCACTTAATTTGAATTATTTTAAGAGATTTTTTTACTACTTTTTTTTACCTCAGTTTGATTTGTTAGATTAAGTGTGTTAATTAGATTTGTTGATTTGTTAGATTAAGTGTTAGATTAAGGGAAAGAAATAGACTATCTCAGCAGGGTTTATAACTAAAATGACTCTTAAGCTTCTTCATTTTACAAGTTCAGAAACTCTGGTTGAAAATACCAAGAGATACCAAGTGTCTTATCCAAGATTATGTGGGTGGCTTGTGACAAAGCCAGGATTAAATTTGTACTACTCGTGTGTGTGTGTGTGTGTGTGTGTGTGTGTGTGTGTGTGTGTGTGTGTAACACCAGATATTTTATATTAATGGTCATGTGCCATTGAACCCCGCTCCTTCATTTCCTTATATTTCATAATTTTTTTGTGTGGATTAGAAATGTTCACCTTTAGCCGGGCTCGGTGGCTCAGCCTGTAATCCTGCGCCTTGGGAGGCTAAGGTGAGTGGATTGCCAGAGCCCGCAGGTTCGAGACCCACCTGGGCAATTTGGCGAGACCTCATCTCTACAATAAAAAATAAATTAAAAAAATTAGCAGGGCGTGGTAGCGCACGCCTGTAGTTCTAGCTACTTGGAAGGCTGAGGTGGAAGGATCGCTGGAGCCCGAGCCTAGCAGGTCGAGGCTGTCGTGGCCGGGAGTGGCCACTGCACTCCAGTCTGACAGAGTGAGACTCCAACTCAGAAAAAAATGTTCACCTTTTTATGATATTTGAAGCGGAGACTTTCTGTATTTAAAAATGTAAATATAACAATGTGTTTTGTACATTGTTGAGTTTATTTAGTTGATTATAGATCTTTTATAAAAAGAGATGAAGTAATTTAGGGCTATATGTGAAATAATTTGCACTCCCTAGAATCAAAGTATGTTCCTCTTCCTCCCCTCTTCCTTTCCCTCCTCCTCCCTCTCCCTTTCTGTCTCTGCTTCCCTTCCCCCACTCCCCCTGGCCTCCCCTTCCTTCCTTCCCCCTCTTCCTCTCCTTCCCTTCTCTCTCTTTCAATTGTATTATGATTCCAGTTACTTTCTTTTAAGCTTTCAGTTTTGTTACCTCTCTTCAGAAAATTCTCATTACTATGTATTTTCTATTTAGAATCAAAGACCTCAGTAGTAGTATTTCAGTGCCAAAATTATAGATTGTAGCTTTCACTGACAAACCAAGAGGTTGCCTCTCTTAAAAAATATATGATAACCATTAAATAACCTGAAATAGAATGTTCTTTGATTTTTGAACTCAAGGTTTATTTTGAATCTGGGTCAGAAGATATTTAGGACCTCTCACCTGTCTCTAAACCGAGAGAATCTCACGTGACCCACTTGGATTTAGGGACTGGGCTGCAATTTGAATTCAGTAAAGTTATTCCAACTTAAAAATGTTTGTAATAAATGATTTGTAGTGTACTGTGACTTCGCCATGTTGTGGAGTTGGGGAGGATAACAAGCAAAGAGAATTCTGTATATTAAATAAACATAGGGACATATTCCAAAATGCTAACAGTAGTTTGGGTACGAAAAATGTGAATGATTTTTTTTTTGGTACTACCTTTTCATACTTTCATAATTATCTTATTTTTATGAAGAAAGGAAAGGAAAATCCTTTTAGATATAATGTAAAATATTGTGTTACCCCTAATAAAGGGTTTTTGACAAATACACTTGCTGAAATTGAGGTCATGAAATCCTATTTAACAGTCCTCATCCTCATTTTTTTTAATCGACTGCCACCAATACAGTAGTCCCCTTTTATCCACAATTACAGTTACCTACAGTCAACTATCTAAAAATGGGTGAGTGTAGTACACTAAGATTTTGAGAGTGACCACATTTACTTTACTTTTATTACAGTATATTGTTACTGTTCTATTTTATTATTACTATGCCTATTTTATAAATTAAACTTTATCATTGGTATGTATATATCTAGGACTTGGTGCTATCCATGGTTTCAAGCATCTACTAGGGGTCTTGAAGCATATTCCCTGTGAATAAGGGGAGCTACTGTATTAGTGTGTATCATTTTCTGTGTTTTATATCTCTCCAATGCAAGTATTAACCAGAGAGGGATGTGAGGAAAGATTGATTATAATTAAGATGCAGTCAGCAAAAGAGCTGTGGTGAATTTGTATGCTTTAAACCTTCCTTTACTATCTTGAATTCCTGATGTTTCTGTATCTTAAGCTAATGTTTTTCAAACTTGGATAATTTCTATAAAGCCTGTTTATTTAGGTTTCCATTTCTGTATCATGTGTAAAATAATGACTCCATTCTGCCACCTTTTTTTTGTCTATTATAACTGCTGTAAACCTTTCACTCATCTAGTGTCTTTATACATGATTTTGTTTTCACTTCATACGAGTGCGTTATGTAATAGTTATACATAGTTAATTTTTCATTAGCGCACAAAACTGTAGTGGGTGTTACTATGATTGTAAACACAGAAGCAAATTCAGGAACAGAAATTTCATGGTTCTTCTCTGTCATCTAGATGATTCAGAATGAAACTTCAGGTTCCTAGAAGGAACTCTGCCTACCATTGTGATAGTGAACAGCAATTTGAGAAATGTTCTTATGCTAGGCAACCAATGGAGTCATTTAAAAACCATGTTAAATGTTACTCTCTAAAGAAAAGAGCATCTTGCCCTTGGAAGGCAGGTAAAAAGGAGTCTGGAAACAAGAATTGCTTTGCCTTTATTGCTGTCATCTGTTAGAACCCACTTCAGTCCCTGGTTTTTTGTGCTTCAGCGTAAGTGTAGCTATTTCCCCAAGATCAGGAGCTGGTATTCTAAAAAAATTGGACAGAAATAAAGATCAAGGGAGAAGATGTCTTCCGTGAAAACACTGAAGTGAGAGAATACAAGCGTGTAGAGAAGATAGCAAAACAGAAACACTGAGATCATTCTAGTGTGGTATATGGCAGGAATCTTGAGATTCCAGTAAGTTGTCCTTGGCTATTACATAATAACCAGAGCAGCCTAATCCACTAATAAAGCATTTGTTGTTTAAGTAGGAAAGGAAATAGGTGATAATGTTTTAAATCAAGGGCTACTGTTGGAAGTAGGAATGAGGGAATGAAGACCTATGCATTGGTGTATGCTGTCCACTGCAAAGAAGAAAAACCACATAGAAAGAAAAGTAAGTGACACAAAAGCAGACTGAGATTTAAGTAGAGACAGATTGGTTGTAAGAAGGGAGAAAAATTCTGTAATTAGTATGGAGGTGTGGATAGGTGACAGGCTGTTATATACAAAATGAGGATCTGGTTTAAACAGTGCTTCTAATGTTTATTCCTCAGTTTTCTTTTGTGAGATACTGATTATCTGATTATCTGGCATGTCTTTCCTCAGGGCTCTTTTGAAAATACAGCTATAGGCAGGGCTCCGTGGCTCAGCCTGTAATCTCAGCACGTTGGGAGGCCAAGGCGAGTGGATTGCCTGAGCCCCCGGGTTCGAGACCAGCCTGGGCAACTTGGCGAGACCTCGCCTCTACAATAAATCAAAAAAAAAATTAGCCGGGTGTGGTAGCGCACGCCTGTAGTTCCAGCTACTTGGAAGGCTGAGGCGGAAGGATCACCAGAGCCCAGCAGGTCGATGCTGGGTTGGCCATGAGTGTGCCACGGCACTCCAGCCTGGGCAACAGAGTCAGACTCCAACTCAAAAAAAAAAAAAAGAAAATACAGCTATAACATACATATAAAGAATTGTTTTATTTTCGTTCTTACTAAATGTGAAGCTTGCACCTCTAATATAGTTATCTAGTTTGTCCTCTCTGTTTCCACTGCCCTGACATTTGTTTAGGCTACTGTCTTATAGAATTGTTGAAACAACCTCCTTCCTCCTCACTGATTTCCCTCCTTCAGTTTCACATCATTTCAATCCACCTTCCCCTTGCTGTCAAAGTTAGCTTACTTAAAAAGCACATGTGATGCTGTCACTCCTATTTAAAATTCTTCTCTGATTCCTCATAACCTTTAGGAAAATTTGGCATAATGTACATTTAATAACAAGGATGATCCTGTGTCCCAGTTTATGCTTGTCTAGTATAATTATTCATTGCTGACCCTTTCACTCTCAAAGTTATCTCATTTTGGATGACAGATTTTTTGTCATCACCCTGTACATCTTCCTATAAAAACAGGAGATTTATTTTAGTTTTTGTTCTGTTCTCAAGCTTCCCTGAGGTATCTAATTCCTTGAATCCAGTGTCTTTCCCAAGTTCCCTGTGTTTGACATCCTTAAATGCGTATTGTTAGGCAGTGAATTTAAAAGTTAAGCATCTAGTTAGGGTA